CGTTGAATCTTCCTGTTTTTCTCCCGACTGAGTCCATTCAAATGTTTATATAACAATAATGTTTTTTTTGCGAATGAAAAAGAAATAGGGAGCAGGTTTTTTACTTAATTTGATTATGACGATGGTAAAATATTTACGTGTCTTTTGATTCGAGGAGTTTTGTACAATGACGTCTTCGATGATCCTTCTTTCATCTCCATAACCATTTAATACGAAGCATACGTTAGGTTTGATTTAATTGTTTTCTAAGGAGTTCCAAATCAGTAAATAATCATTCACTTTTGAGGTTATTTTGACAGCAGTAATTTTATTTATGTAAGCGTAATTAAGCATAATTTTTTTATTCACTGCTAACAGTAGATCATGGTTATAACTTTATGAGTGAGGTTGTCGCCAGGCGATGTCACAGTTTTCGTTTCCTTGTACTCTGAGCATCGTTCAAAGCTCTAAATTCTAATTACTGCCTACATCCGTTTGAATGTAGAACTGACGTACTCGCTCAGCAAGACATTTTATTCTCAAAGAAACGGACGACAAACCTGTGAAGTTTGAAAAACAGCCGGCCGTCGAGAGTTTGAAGGTAAATCTTTATTTCAGTCTACAATGTAAAAAGTTAACACAAGTAGAGTTGAGGTTTTTACACCTGGCGAAATTTAGGCAAGATTTTTCAAAATTGTGACTAGCAGAGATTATCTCCTTGACGCTTCATTCTTTTACCCCTTTGATTCTGAGTATTTGGGTATTTTAACCATCCAACCTAATTAGGACATCATTCGATGTTTCTGATTCACTTGAAGGTAATTCTTTGCGTCCAAACGAACTACTCGGCGGCTTATCGATCGCTCTTTGACTCTAAAATGTCGACGAAAAATTTTGCCAAAAAACAGTTTTTACCATTGTCTTCAAATTAGGACAAACTCGTGAATTGTAAATGGTTGCTAGGTTTTTTTTTCTCTCCTTCATCTAAAACTGAGAATAGGTGACTTTAAGTGATAGCGACAAGCAAAAATGACCATTAATGAGACGAAAGCGCCATTAACCGAACGTGCATCTGAAGGAAATATTCCATACTCGCCAGATTCGAATAAATAGATGACATCAGATATATAGACAGGTGTAGTTTTGCCTGGAGCTAGGTCTTGTTAGGCGGGATTCCAACCTTAATCCGCCTTCTTATCGATAATAATCAGTGACTTCCCACTATAGCCTGCTGTCAATTTAAATTAATTTCAAAATTGTGGTTCTAAGCTCAGCGTGTTCAATGGCTGATGCGCTCACACTTCCTTTGGGGCATATTTAATATCTCCATGCCAAAACTTGCCTGTGGCTTTGCGCGCACTGTCTAAGGTAGAAGTAATAAATCATGGCTGCATAATCACCCCAGAAGGACGAGCTGTCGTTGAAAAGAAGATATATTTGACTTTTAAAAGTCTGCAGGGTATATATATTTGGTAGGAAATATTACTTACCGTGATATCAATTAAAACAATAATCAATTCGTCACCCTCTGAAAACCAAGTGGTGCTCCTCCTAATATTTTCTCCAGCAAACAACAATCATTACACAGTTTGACTTATCGCGAAAAAAAGCTGAACCTAACGCTATCATGTTTTACTTTCAAATTATACATCACATTTTTTTAAATTACATTTTCAAATTTTGAGAGCTAAGGAGCGCAGAGGTAAGATGTTCCTTCAATGTGAGTACACTTTTTAATCGACGCTGTGGCGTTTGTTCATTTTTTGAAGCTAATAAGGGTTTAAATGATTTCAATTCGAAATGAACTGAAAACGAGCTAGAATTCTAGGCATAATTCAATGAAGTTTAACATTTTGAGCTCGAGTTGAGTTTTTTGCGCACATCTATAGGAAGGAAGGAAGGTAGGAAGTTCTAAAGCTATGAGTGCTCCGTGTTGCTGAAATGCAAAGTGAGTTTCGGCGAATCAACGAATTTCGCTCAATATTGTTAGGGCAACCTATCGTCCAACTGCGACCTTGATTTAAATTCTGAAAGAAACGCGGTTTTTTTTTTGAATGAGAGGGAAAATATAGACTTTTTGTCAGAAGAATAAATATTTCGTCAATGTATCCGGTTTATGTGACCAACTTTTTACGGAAGCTATTTTTTCTTTGAAAAAGAAATATCATCCGTGCCATCAAATTTATGAGTCGCTTTTTCTAAGCGGAAGGCAGGCGCGTAGCTCCCTTTAAGCTTGTAAGCCAGGGCTTACAAACATTTCTCGGAATATTTAATTTTTTTCTTGGAATATATATACTTTCCCCGACCGCTCTATACTTACGAGATATGGAACAGGCTTACAAGCCAAAAATGACTGCTACGCCCCTGGAAGGTTATCAAATACTAAACCTTTAAAAAAAACATCTATCGATTGTCAACAGCACTTATCGTGGGAGGATGAATTGATGCTTTTAACGTCTTATAGTAAACACCGTTTTCCATGTTTTTGCTTGTAACAGAGTTACAAAAGCAGTTTTATCTGAATTCAGACGACGTCTTAGATTTAAATTAAAAGCATATGGGGTTATCCAATGGGTTCGGAAATTTCATTTTTTTTAACTTTTTTCTTTCAATTTTGGTGAAATTCGCTTTTTCCCTTTGCGGAACATGTTGGTAAAATGAAAAGTTCCGCGTCCATGTTCACTTGCAAATCTTGTCACCTGAAGAGGAAGACGGAAGCAAGCGGAATTGAATACAGCGTACATGAAAATAGGTCATATTCATATGGGGGTCATTAAATCAGATGCTCAAAGATTTATGTAACTAATTACACGAGCAACTGAAATTTATAGATCAACATTAGCCAGTTTGATGGATTTCTTCTGTTTTTTTTTTCTCAGCCCATACGCTTTTTAAACAGAAAATATTCAACTTTTGTCGAAGCGAAGTCCAGTTTACACAGAATATGAAAGATGCGTTTTATCACAATTACAATGATGATGTTCGTATCGCATTGCAAACAATTTTAACTTAAGTTAAGTATTTAAGGGCAAAATTCCGCTTGCTCCAAAGAAAAATATCGGTGTTTGTCTGATCAATTCGAAATTCCTCGTACACAAACGAAATTTACATACAAAGCATCGATCCATCGTGATCAAATTTTTGTGGTGGACACTAACATGAGTGATGTACCGAAGGACGGGCATAATATATACTTTATATAGCCTCATCTCGCTAACAGCTTCGCAGCGGTTGGTTGGTAGAGCTTGCGAATGCATATTACCTGACTGGCGTTTGAATCTTCAAGGGGACTTCGTGCATTTTTTTTTTAACATTTGTAACATTCCTCCTTGAATCGGGGTTCCCTACCTTGTGTATCAGGTCGCCCTTTCTACTGGTTTCCTGCGAAACAAGCTACGCGGAAAGTTGGGAGACTTAAAGAGTGATCTAATGTTCGAGACTTGAACTAGTCGATGAGTTGTGTTCTTTGGGGAGACATTTTACTCTCACCAGGCCTCTCTCTCCTCACCCAGGAGTACAAATGGGAACTGTCAGGGACACCTAACTTAATGCTGAGGGGGGGTGAACCTGTAATGGACCAGCATCCCATCTAGGGGGGGAGGATAATACTCCTCATTGATTCTTGCCACAGAATTGGGATAAGCTGCGGGCCATTTGTTTCGAGTACAAACTAAGCCTTAATCTCACCTCCAGCATCTTGCGCAAAAGCACTCAAAAGGAATAAGGAAACATGCTTGCGAGAAAGGAGACACGCGAAGAGAGAGCTTCTCCTCGCTATCAAGCGCAAGAATTTTCACTTTCGCATCGCTCAATCGTAAGTAAATTTAAATTCTTTATAGGTCGACTTAAAACTACTTCTATTGCTACTTACTATGTTGCTTAGAAGGCTGACCTTGCCTTTTTTACTTTTCAGCAGAGCAAATCATCTACGTCACCTCAGTGTCAGTAAGCTTCGAACTCTGCGATGAAAAGTGCAGCGGTTATTTCCATTTTGCTCTTACTTGTAATGATCGGGTCTGTGAGGTGTAACGGCGCCAATGAGACGGTGAGCAGTAACGGCACCAATGTGACAAATGAGACAGCAAGCGGTAATGGCCACAACAAGACGAAGCTCTTCATTCCAATATTAGAGAGAAAGGACCAACCTCCTGTATTCACAAAACTCGGTATTCAACTGGCGATCGATGTTGCAAAGAACTCCTCATACTTTAAAGATTTCCTGGACAAATATGAAATAGTAGCCGAATCGTACAACACAAAAGTAAGTTATGTTGAACAAAAATTCTAACAACACTCTTTTTCCCTCCTGAAACGTGAGATGATGTGAAGAGAATAAATTTCAACCTCAAAGGAAGAGGATGCACTATAAATCAAGTTTCGTCTGTGCCATTAGAAAGTATTTACGAAAATGTTCTGATTACCACGATTTGAGAAAAAAAATCGTCTTCAAATTGTGCATAACATTCGACCATTGACAACATGATGTGTTTTTCCTATATTGGGACACTTTACTTAATATGAGTGACACTTGCGCGATGATAAGACTGCGTGACAAACTAATTCGCCTGTTTGGGTGCGAATCTAATTTCCCGACTGGTCCATTTGCACTACGAGTCAAAAACTCCTGAAATCTGATTGGCTGCGTTTGTAGTGCTGTCTATTACTATTGGCATCGATTGTCGAATTTAAAAAAACTTAAAGCAAACCTTTCCAAAATTTAGGTTACTCTGTAGGATTTCAAACTGTAACTGGAGTCATGTTTTTCCTATACTGACTGATGGTGAGATGAAAATATTTTTTCCCTGTTTCATTAAGAGAACTTAATATGTTGATGTGATTTGAATTCACGCTCATCTGTCGGGTTTTACCAGAAGTTTGTTTCGTGGAGTTTTCCTCACCTCTTCGTCGCTTCTAGAAATACAAAACAAACAGCAAAAATGTCCTTGTTTGTCAACAGGGTAAAGAAACAAGTGCCATTTCTACATCTACATATTTACTGAGATACATCGAAGGCGGTTATGCATTGCTTCTCCTTGGTCCCCAAACCCCTGCCGAAGCTTCCTCGGTATTGAAAGTTGTACGATTCTACAGAAAGTTTATGGTAAGAAACATGAGACATTTTGCTATCAACTACTACCGTTTTTGGTTGAGCAGGTTTTGGGTAGGCTGAGAAGCTTCTTCTCGTTGGATTATGGGATGGTTGGCTGGTGTAATGATCAGTTGGTTAGTAAAATATGTACAGACGTACCTACGAACGGACAGACGGAGGTCAGAGGTCACAGTTCGAGAATCATTGCTTTTTTTTTGTTTGGTTAACGTTTGAGTGTTTTACTATATTGTGGGTTGGTCTGATCGATTTTTGGGTCAGTAAGTTGGTTAGAATGTTTACTTGTCTAATATAATAAGAGAATGTGTTAAATTTATAGTTACATGAAAATTAATGATAATTACATTGAAGGTCCATGTTTGCAACTTGACTAAAAAATACTATACAATAAGAGAATATGAACTGTTCATATTCTTTCCTATTTCAAGCAACCGTTTATAGACAATGTGATTGATTGGAAATCACATAACTTTGTTTTCGTTTGCAATTCCGTTTAGTTATTGCGTATAACGCAGTAGGCTCGAGCTTTTGTGAATAAGGTTACGCGTCTTAAGGGTTGTTTCAAGAGTAGTTCGTGGTTCTACGGGCGGAGAAATGCAGATCGTTTCATTTATTTAAGGTAACGTTCGCTTAGCCTAATATGAAATTGTCAGCTGGTGAACTGCAGTTTTCCATCGTGTCTGCCACCTTTCCGCTGAGGGAGTGAACCGGGTATACCTTTTCAATCAGAGTAGTCTATGAAATTACCTAATGCCTCGTAGGCTTAAAACTAACACTTGGTGATACTTTTCCCATAACGCTGAATGACGTCTCTTTGCAGGTAACGTATCTAACCACATCGTCCGAAGTTAAGGAATTAGAGGATCCCTATGGATTTACGTTTGCACCATCAGCTTCTACCTTCAATAAAGCTGTCGTAAGCATAATGAATATGTTTAAGTGGAAGAGAGCTGCCGTAGTGTACGACTTTCTAGACGAAGGGGGACTTTTTGTTAAGGTGAGAGGTCTTCTGAAACTTTCAAGTTGTTGATATCTTTATTCAAACTCTAATATGAAAATTTATTGAAGGACCGTTACACCATTACATATTTCAGGGCAGTGAGGGTGCGTTGGAAAGTTTTAGTTGATTTCATTTTAATTATTGCTCAGTATTGTCTAATTTTTATTTATCTTTTAATTTTGAGGAAAACCTGTAACTCAGTCCCACGACTACGCGTTGAATAATCTTTTCATGAATGTTATTATATTTTACCAGATAGACAGTTTATTTCTATTATTTTGGTCAATTTTTAGCATTGCTTTTTTCTCTTGAGTTCTTACAAGAGGGTGAACGCAGCCTTAAACCAAGGAAAGATGGGTACCCTCTTCCTTGTGCCTGTTTCGTTCCAGTCACCTGAAGCTCTCTCTATACGCTATCTCTCGTCTTTATGCTCACTTACGCAATTCCAATTTCTTCGTAGCTTTGTAAGATGCCCTATTGAAATTTCGGTCTCATCCTTTGAGAGTAAATTTCTCCTCATTGAGGAGACAATTTTTCATACTTTCTATTGAAACACTGTGCCTACGATTTCTTTCGTGCGGTCGTTTCACCGCTAATCAGTTTAGTGTTTAGTGGCTTTTCTATTTTCGTAATATGCACTAAATCACAACAATTCTGAGCAAATGCATGCGAGAAGAGAACTGAGGTCATTATGAATTGCAAACCGTTTCCTCGTATTAAATTGCAGGCTGTGGACAACCTAATAAAGAAAGCAGACTTTGAAATAATTGGATTTGAAGCGATAAATACTGGTGAAATCAGCCTTAAAGGGAACATCGACGAGGATATCAAAAATAAACTGGAAAAACTTAGGGTAGATCCAACTTAAACTCGCTTATACTTACAGCACCGTACGTTTATGTTAGTGTTTTTAACTCAGGTACCGGTCTCATGTGCACTTACTTTTCTTCGTTCTGTGAGTTTCTTAAAAACTGGCACCCACCGCCTGTCCAAAGAAACACTAAATCAATCCTTTCTAAGGTGCTCGTGCTATCACCAGTTAACACCAGCTGTTCCCTCTGGGTTCAGTTTATTGGTATAATCAGGAGAAATATAGATTTCATTTACCACGCCTTGAGGTTGCTTGATTTGGAGTGAAAGTGCATAAGCAATAGCCTTCATTTGGCGTGAAAATATGTGAAGATATTTATACGCGGAAATTATCTGTTCCAAGAAGGAAAAAGTTTCTCGGAAGCGAAGATGGAGGAAAATTGTGAGCTTTGAGACACAGACAATGTTTAAGGACATCTTAGAGGGCACAGTTTCAAGCAAAATGGATGCTAGGGCACTTTTACTTTTCAGCGCTCGAAACAAACGTTTACAAACAGCTAAGTTTCTTTCCTCTTCTGTTACAACAACAAAATGGTCTCCTAATTTGAATCGACTCTTAAAAAATGTCTTCCACCGCAGGGACGCAAGGCTCCAAAATACTCGAATTTGAGATGTTGTATTAATACATTGTGTGTGAGCCTGGATAAATTGATTTCGCGTTTGTAATCCCTCTCGTTAAACCCGGGTGCTTTTGGGTAAAACAATAAAAAATATGTTTAAAAATAATAAAAAGGAAAAAAAAAAGAACGTAGCAACTAGGTAATTATATTGTTTCTCCATTTAGGACTTGGATAGTAAAATATTCTTTGGTGCTTTCAATAAAAGAGGAGCTAGTCTGGTGTTTTGCACTGTGAGTTTACTAACATTGTTATTATACGTATGATGCACGATCTTTCGCAGTAAAGCATTATTTGAGCAATATTGAAAATCAGACCTGAAAAACATCAGGCCTGTACGGGATTCGAACCACTGACCTCTGCGATACTAGTGCAGCGCTCTACCAATTGCATAAATAACCCGTGATGATAAATCAGATACTATTGCATAAATAGCGCTATCTACTGCGAAGGATCGTGGATCATACGTATTTAATACCGCAGTTCAAAATATATGAACTTCATATATTCATTGTATCTGATTTATCATCACGGGTTTATTACGAATCAACTTAACGGCCTGCTCCCAGTTGGCTTGTTAGCTCAATTGGTAGAGCGCTGCACTAGTATCGCAGAGGTCAGTGGTTCGAATCCCGTACAGGCCTGATTTTTTTCAGGTCTGATTTTCGCTATTGCATAAATAGCGCTATCTACTGCGAAGGATCTTGCATCAGACGTATTTAATACAGCAGTTCAAAATATATGAACTTCATATATTCATTGTAATTGTTATAATAATAATAATAATAATAATAATAATAATTTTATTTAAGGAGGGTAACACATGACAGTAATTCAACTGATGAACTTGTGGCCCTCAAATAAATCAAACAAAGATTTTAAATAAACATAAAGTGCATGAAAATCACCACTGGCAGGAGGCAGATCAGTAGGCTATTTAACAAAACCAGCGAGTAGAAGGTGCATGGAGGACTGGAACCCGGGCCACCGGATTACAAGTCCAGCACCCTAACCACTCAGCCACGCCGTCTCCTCTTAAGTGTTTAACCTTTGCAAATTTTCTGAGAAAAAGAATTGAACCTACCATTTCCGGCTTTATTTCTCGATCCTCTCGTAATATGATCCTATATGATTTTCACGAGAGCAATGCAATAAAAACAATGGTACCTTCATTTTTGTATCTAGTTATTATTCATCTATTAATCTGTCCATCTGTTCATTTTCTTAGCCATCTAAATACTAATTGTTCATTTATTCATCGTGTAGGAGTTTCACGTTTTATCATTAATTCTATATATCATTCCCCATGGAAAAAAAATTTTTAATAAGCTTTCAAACCAGATCTCTTAGTTAAAATAACGCTCAATGCGAAAATGAAGATTTCAAAAGGATATGTATAAATATCTTTATACTCAGTGAATTCCAGCTTTAAATCTTCTTTGTAGTTGTACAAAATGAAAATGTACGGACCAGAGTTTGTGTGGATCCTGCATCCAGAAGCAGAGACCGTCAATGATTGGGATTCAGTTGCCGCAGTCGAGAGGAAAAAGAACAAGACTGGGGCATGTACAAAAGAGCAGTATGAAGAAGTAGCAGACAGAACTATTATCCTGGACAAAAATATTCTATATCGGACGGATGATAATACTACTACTGCATCTGGTCTGGTAAGAAAAGGATGAAAATATTCTGTATAGTACTCGAGTCCAAATTTATGGGCTTTCTAGAATTTAGACTGACGGAACAAGTTGTTTGAGATTCATAAAAGTTTACTCCTTCATGATAAAGACGGGGTAAGGCATTAAGAACTTTGCAGTGCAAGCAATTAAGATTTCTAGAGCGCCCACAAAGCTTATTGTAAACATGAGTGGTACTTCAGAGAGAGATGGAAAAGCTGAAAGAATAATAGTTTAATAAAAGCATAATAGCAGATAACAATAGCAAAATACTGATAGCATAATAGCCTTGATAATTCTTAGTTTTGATTTTTGATTTTATCCAATTTCATAGTCGCTCTTAATTCACCGTCATTCTACTTATACAAGACCTTCAAAAATTTATCTCCGTCATCAAAAACAGGTTGAAATCACTGAAAAAAGACCACTTCATATACTAAATAGAGAGTGCATATAAAACCTTTGGAGAAAACCGTATTGGGAAGGAGTGGATATCATAGGATAGTTTGAAAGAACAGTCAGATGAAACACTGAATGGGATTGTGGGTGAAATTTCACCCCCAAAAAATTGCCCTTGTTAGCAATCAGGGTTCATTGTCGGCCAATCCTTAAAAAAGTAGATGAAATAGCATTTTGATGTTACAAATACCACACAACGAACAAAAAGTTTACGGAATTATTTATTTTTATCTTCCAGTCGTTACGCCAGGTGTTCAAAATGGTAGATCCCGAGCCCACGACGGAAACTGATAAGATTGAGTTGACAACAGCTTTTGACACCATGTGGGCCATCATGCTAGCATTAAAGGAGGCAAATGCTTCTTTGCCCAGTTCATTGCCTCTGGAAACAAATGTAAAGGAGTTTTTGGGAAAATCAAAAATAACGGAAACCATTGAGTCAAAACTGAAAAATCTGAGCTTTGAAGGACTTACGGTAACTATTTTGTATTGCTAACCTAATTGCTAACCCCATTAACGAGAGAAAATCGGCCCCAGAAATTTTTGGCATTTTAGGGCATTGACCTTCCTCTAGCATACAATACAAAAATGTAAGGATCCTATCCATAATGTGGCGCCTTAAATCAAGGGTTGCCCGAGACCAGACTCGAGGGGGGAAAGTGATACGGACCCATGATTGACCATCATTGACCATGATTGACCATCATTGACCATGATTGACCATAATTGACCATGATTGAGCGTGATTGATTGACCATGATTGATTGACCATGATTGATTGACCATGATTGACCATGATTGACCATGATTGATTGACCATGATTGACCATGATTGACCATGATTGACCATGAGCTGTAGCTTGTGATAATGACAATGTCTCTTTTCTACTGACACAAAAAGACAACTCTTTCAAAAACCAAGCCGTTCTGAGTTTAGATAAAAACTTAACTGTGTGTTGCTGGTAAATTTTTATTCAGGGTCCAATATCGTTTACCAGGAACGAGGAAAGAGAAGGGATAATTGGGGTGAAGCAATACAGAAGTGAGCAGTAATTGAGATTTTCTTGCGTTTGATATTTCCCGGTTGCTGACTACCGCATCTTACAACTGACAGTGCTTATGAGCATGTTACAAAGTTGTTTTTGCTCTTTTTATTTCCGCCAAGTGGGACAAATGCAGTTTGTCTTCTTTTTATCGCTCGGCTAAAAAGTTTTCTGGCGTAAGTTTTCAGGGTGAAGTATGTCCAGAAATGCAAGCAATAACGACAATGGATAAAAATCGTCAAAACTGTCAAATCCTCTAGGCTGATTTTGCTTTGACAAATTTGACTAAAACTCGTCAATTCCGCCAAGCTGATTTCGCGTTGACAAATCCGGCTTAAATCCGTCAAAATCGTCAACTCCGCCCAGCTGATTTCGGTTTGACGAATTTGACTGGCATTCGTCAAAGTGGTTAATTCCTCCAAACTTTTTTCACTTTAACGAGTTCTACTAAATTTCGCCAAAATCGTTAGATCCATGAACATTCACTCAGTTTGACGAAGTTTCGTCAAATCTGCCATGTTCATTACTGCGTGCGTTTCGGGACATAAAAGTGATTTACTTACGCATGATTTAAGTTGTTAACCGCCGTCCTGGAAATATATGCATAACTTTAAACCAACATTTTAGACCTTCAAACATCATATTATGTGTCTGCATTATGCAAAGCATTTCAGCTTTAAAAACGCAAAATCTTTCCAGGAATTAGTGATAGCATACATTTATCCCTCAGTGGTTCACTAACCATCCTGTTGTTTTTATTAATTTCAACAGCTAGCGAAAAGAGTCTTAAACAAATTGGAAAACATTATACAAAGGACAATGAGTTTGTGTTGTTGTATAACCGCACTGATTTATGGAAAGGTACAGTAAAATTAAACCATTAGAATGGCTTCGTTTCTATACCCTCCAGGACAAAACAATAAGAGCACGCATCTGCGATAGCAAACTAGTGGCGGGAGATCTCGCAAAGTTAAAGTCCAGGTATCTAGATTTAACATCTACTGAGTTTTAAGTCTTGGCCATGAGGATCACTTGAAAGAGTAAATTGATCGTGCTATGAATGTTCCGCGCCAGTTTACACCACTGAACCTAAGATTAGGCGCTGCGGGCAAGTGTGAGACTGATTCGGTCCTTGAGATCAACCTTTACTGCCAACATCAGTATGCATATTCTCCATACTATTCCCTATACATCTGCTAAGGTGCTGACAAAGAGAATTCGGTTAACAGACTTCTTTAGCTAGCGATCATTTTCTCTATTCTCGTAGCCTTAGTGTAAGATTCAGGGGTGATTCTGTAAGGAGAAATTAGATGCTAGGAACCCTTGGGGGTCAAAAGGTTCCGTAATAAAAAAAAAAGGGGGAGTTATCCGACTGTGAGCGTAGCCATGTAGTTTGGTAGCTCATCGTTTCATTCAAAGATCCTTGTATCATAATTTGGAGAATTCTTACTGAATTTAACACTTTGACTCCAAGGATCTCACTAGTAATTCACCCAACTATCTGCCGTACAATTCTTGCGAGGTTGTTTTTGTTTCTTCTCTCGTCTGTTTGCTGTAGCATTGATATTGTCAGAAGAAATTCTGTCTTGGTCCCTCATTAAATTTAAAGGGTTAACTTTGTGATTTACATTTTTTTAGATGGACAGATCCCTTACGACAGTTCACAGAAGAAATTGGTGCCGCAAACCGTCGCTATTGAACTCTTTATTGTGTTCTCAACCGCTGCATCCATTGGAATCGTGTTGGGGATAATGTTTCTGGTATTCAATCGATATTATCGCAAGTACAGGCAAGTGTATGGCACTCATGTCAACCATTACTCGCGGTTTTCTCGGTCATGATTAAGCTTCAGATTAAAACTGAACTTTTCATGACCTCACGAACGTTTGGCTGCGCGGCCCAGAGCGTCGGTGGGAGCGTCAAAAATGTGTAATTTTCTTAGGGTTAAGATATTGTTAATGCAATCCGTAGAAGGGATTTAAACTCTTTCTAGATTTTAAGAGCCATGAGTTTTTACACGCCCAACATTGTAATAACTTCTAAGGTAAAAGTGAAATCGCTGAAGCTACAAAGTTTCACGGATTTTAAAGGCGCTTCGAAAAGCGAAGAGGGCCATATAGAGCACAATTAACCCTCTTCTGTGACAAGAGAAAGTGACTGCTATAATGATGAAAAAAGTTGGGATGCCTTCAAATAACAGCGTTCGCCCTCTCCCTGCCTGGGAAAAGGAAACTTTAAAAGAGAACACAAAGTTTTCTTTCCTGTCAAGTTATGGCTTGTTCCGTGTAGATTTTACTTTCATTAGTGAATTCCTGCAAGAAAAATATCTAAGTTGTGCCACAGAACCCTCGAAAAGTACAAGATTCTATAACTTCACGATAATTTCCCTGGAAGTTTTCCCGCGAGCTTCGACTTTCAAAGATCACCGGAGACCCGTTACATCCTAGTTCTAACTCAATTTTTCGTCGTCTTCAAAATTCTAAAAACACGTATCTTGTTACAGGTTTATCCGGTTGTCTGCACCGCTATTTAATGACGTCATGGTTATAGGCTGCATCATGTGCCTTAGTACTGTGTATTTATTTGGTTTAAGAAATTTTGATGATCCAAAAATAGACATGCCACCTATTTGCAAGGTAAATAGAAAAGAAAAATGTCACCTCAGTTTTCCAACAGAAGATTGCAAGAGTTTTCAAAGAGTTGGAGTCAGACGCTTTACTTTAACCTGTTTGACAGTTATCTATCAAAATTGATGGTCAGTGCTGATCATCCATTAGAAATGGCCAATGGGTGGCAAACATTAATTATACAGATAACCCTCATGCAAAAATAAAGAACAGAGGGAACGCATTTTAAAAACGACCCGTTTATGAAGTGTAGGATTAAACTTGGCCGGCCCCTCATTGATGCTCATTTGCATGAACAGCGTGAAGGAAAAATCAATTCCTAACTAGCTAGGTTGTCGTCGGTGCAAGGCTGTCCTCCTAAGTCGGGGTCAGTTAAATATAAGTTTCTACCCCTTTACTTTTTCACCGTTCGTTGTCTTTCAAGATCTTGATAATAATGTTTTTCCTTCATCAACAGGCCCGTGCGTGGATTTTGAATGTTGGGTTTTCATTGGCCTTCGGAGCCATGTTCATCAAAACATGGCGAATTTACAAGATTTGTACCAACAAGCGCCTAAAAGTTCGCGTGAGTACTGAAAGATGATAGTTGTCAAAAGAACATTAGCTTTAATCAAAAATTATAGGAAAAACATGTTGAAAAACAAGGTTGGATGTAGTCGTAGCGTAGGATCCAATCAGGTTGTGACTAAACGAAACCCCCCTTTGGGATATCTCTGAAGGAAGGGCACTCTCTCTCTTCTGTTCAAGGGTCCACTTTGTTCCCCCTTAAACCTCTAATTAGTCCCGTTTCTGAGATCCCGCCATCTCCCTCTCATCAACACCCCCCCCCCCCCCATATTCAATATTCCTCCTTTCCCGAATATAAACTCAAAAGTAAAATCCGAGGACAAAATAGTAGGGCTGCAATAGGCAGACAATGTTATGCGAACACTTGTACCGTGGTACAGTTTTCCACTTTTTTTCTCAGTTTGATAATCTAAATGATGGCCCCAGGTACAAATTAAACCACGACCGTGATGAATTGTTTGCTGTATTTCAGCTCGGTCCTTTGTCCGATTGGTGGATGCTTGCAATGGTTAGTGGGATCGTTTTAATTGACGTGGGTATCATGGTTGCGTGGGAGATTGAAGACCCCCTGGAATGGGCTCAGCACAACTTTACTGAGAAGGTTAGTAAAGAAATGAAAACATTACTCCACATCACTTATGATTTTTTCATTTCTCATAGTATTATTAAAGTTAAGCTTAAAGTTTACAGCAAACAACAAAAACTAAAGTTCCTGTTATCTGCAAGCAGCCGTTCATATCCTGATACGAAAATATGTCAGCCGCCGTGAATGAGAGATTTTCTTTCTATCTTCTACTTAATTTCTTTCCCATTTGTCGTTTCCGTGAACGTCGAGCATATACTCGATAACATAAAACGTATGAAAAATAGGATAATTTAGTTTAATTTTTATCAACTGAAATAGTAATGTAAATTAGTCACCGTGATAGTATCTAAATCTGACCTTTCAGGCATTGACCATTCGTCAGAGCAAATAACAAATTTCATTAACAACGCAGTCGATTAAACCAAATTATCATATCAGCCACCGATGCATAGCTACAGTTTCCCTAGAAACTCCCACCCTCCCCCCACCTTAAAACGTATGAAACAGGCTGATTCTAATCTTAACACCCTATTTACACATTAAGGACTTATAAATGTTGTAAACGTTATGATGATGATCAGCTATTCTTTTTAACAATTCTTAATCAAATTAAACTTAGACTCCAAGAAGTGCATGTGCTTGCATAACCTGATACGAGACAATTTTTTGGAAGAAAATTGGAACTTTCTAAAAAATTCAACAAGTGTACGCGTAAATACTTGCGTTCACAATTTTCAACCTTTTGTCTTTATCCGGGTTATACAAATACATACATATTCAAACCTTAACATCGACATACACTACTCTAGCTAGTAAAAAAAAAAAAACTTTCTAACCCTCGTACATTTATGAGCATCTACCTCGCTGACTGTCCTTCAATTTCGATATTTTTAGCTCTGAGACTTGATTAAGTGCTAAATTAAACAATATCCCTAAGTTGACATTTTTCTCTATTCTTATCTCTTCCCTGCTCGGGATTGTGTTGATATTTTTAAAAGAAATAACGTTTTTGTAACCTCTGAGAATGGTTTCTTCAACTGCATCACTTTAACACTGAAGTAATCAGGGGAAGTTTCAGCATATTGTCCCATATAGTTGACTCTGTGGGAAGGTCTTTCCACACCAGGCTTTAACACGACAACATTTCCACTCTCACGCACACAGGGTTAGCTCATTTCTAACTGTCTTTATTTCCGTCTGCTTACTAATGCTAACCGATCGCTAACATGAGTGTTTATTTCTCTTCCTCCTGAACACGCCCAGGATGACGGGGTAAGTTCCGCATTTTCTCAACTATTGCAGGTTTCATATAACAGCTTTCTTTTAATTTCATTCTCACTCCATTCTGCTGTTGCATGCCTCGTGTATTAACCTACCAGAGAAACAAGCAAGGAGGTTGAAATTACCGTTTCTTCCCCGTCTTGAAGTCGATATCCGTCGAATTACTTTTTAAATCACTAAGTTTCCCGAAGATATCTTAGACAGGAACCGTGAGAAGAATAACATATCGATCACTTCTGGCACCTCGTTATTTCGCAACTCGAACGACTGGAATACACTTTTCATTTCACAACATCGTTGACCGACGCAACCAATTCTTCGTCAGCAACTCATATTTTCAAGACCCAACGAAGGGTTTGACTGTACCTAGGATCAGAAAGTGTTTGACGTATTTTGTAAATTCAATAAACAACAAAAAGCCTTGTAAACTACACCTATAAGGACCAGAATATTTCGTTTTTTACATCAATGACAAATTAACATTTATTTGGTTCCCCTAATTAGTGGCCAGGGGCCGGTTTCTCGAAAGTTCCGGTAACTTAACGGGCCCGTAAAGCTGTTCTATTTTCATTCAAGATGGGGATTTCAAAAGTTTTTAAAATGATATGATAAAACTATCAACTAAAGAAGCAAAAGGACTGATTTGGGTGCCAGAACCTGCTTTCTTATCCTTTAAATTTTGATTTTAAAACGTGGCTTCGGGCCCGTTAAGTTACCGCGACTTTCGAGAAACGGACCCCAGAATCGTAAATTCAGGTTCTCTTCTTTCTCTGTCAGTCGTAATTAGGATTGTTTTCCAACCACCTACCCTTTAATACCTCGCATTAGATGGAAGTTCGCATACTGAACTGATCAAACGTAAAAAATAATAATAAATTTAACAATAATAAAAGGCTGATGAAGAAATTGAGAATAATTATGTGCACGGAACGTTTCTTACAGGACGACCGGTTACTTCCACGTTAAAACAGAAAATTCTTTGACGCACTTTAAGTTACGGTAGTCACAGTAATGATGTTCACGACCAAAAAAGATGTAAAGATGTAAAAAAAAGTTTCTTGAATTGAAGCGAGGAGACGTTAATAGAACTTGGAGATGAAATAATGCGTAGCGAAGCGATGAAAACGGGTCGAGTAAGCTGTGAATAAAACGTTATAGAGCGGTATAAAGTAGTTTCAAAAACTAAAGTAAATACAAAGAAAAGCTATAATTAAAAGACGAAAAACTACAGTAAAAACAAAATCACGAAAGGAAATACAAAACAGAAAAATTATGTGGCAGTAACGATGATAATGAATTAAATAAGATAAAAGTAGAAATCTGAAATGTAAGCTGTAAGACGCCAGGACTTTAAAATTACCAGACTAATAGCTCTCCCCATTTTGTACTTACAGAGAGATAAAGATAACCCTCTCTTCATCATCGTACCAACGCTGAACACCTGTACGGCCAAGAATCTGACGGTATGGCTGGCTTTGATCTACGTTTACAAAGGCATTATGCTCCTATACGGGCTCTTCCTTGCCTACGAGACAAGAAACGTGGTGTATGCCCATCTCAATGACTCACGTGTCATTGGCATCTGTGTGTATAACGTGGTAGTGTTGTCCGCTATTGGGGCATTTCTTGCGCTGATTCTGAACAATGATCAATATGAGCAATTGTACGCCGCCTTGAGCGTGTGTATTATATTTCCAGCTACCGTAACCATATCGTTAATCTTCATACCAAAGGTAAGGAATATTTCGGTGACAGTATGGTAATAATATTGTAGCACTTTTCTAATTATTTACCAGGAAAATTTCCGCTTGAACAATGCCTAAGAGCACGTCCATAAATTCCAAGCAGGGTAGAGAGTTGGAATCAAATTCATGTTGTTAATATGTAATCAAACAATTTGGAGTGCAAGCTCAAGCACTCAAGACCATAAAGAGTATAGTGCTAAAGACTACAGCCGGATTGCACGAGCCTATATGCCTATGATAATTCTGGCATACCAGTTTATTCAAAATTGCTCTCAAAATCATTTTGATTACTCATCCATTTTGAAATTTGGTGATTAAGACTAAAGGTTAGGGGGTTTAACAACCATTTTAATCAGTATATAACAGCTTTCTATTAGTATGGAAAGACAAACGAGAATTTTCTTTAAACGAAACAGGTGGGTTTAAGACTTTTTTTCGGCCTCAACAGCCCCAGACTTTAGGCAAGAATCCTAGCTAACAATCACTGACTGTTTCATTTTGTTTCAGCTAATACATCGTGTAAAAATGAGCTCCCTCGACGATGAGGCAGGCGAATCAGCAACAAATACCAGAACATTTACTCGGCCGTCGATTGACATAACCAGCACCTACGGTGATGCCACTGAGATGGGCAGAGAGAGATACGTCGATGCTTCTTCAACGAACGGCAGTGTGAACACACTATGTGTATATCAAAATGGAGACGCTGGACTTTCTCCTGCTCCTTCACCGAAACCACCCACGAAACTTAAAGAACTGTCACCTAAAGCCCTCGAAGACTGAACGTATAAAACAATAGAAAAAATGAAATATTTAAACGTTTCAAGTGACAACAAAGATTCAACTTACCTTTCACTATTGGTACTTCTGGGCTGTTTCAAAGAATTATCGCGAAGAGAGGGACATATCCACGTTCCAAAATTGCTTCGAAGTTAGCCATTCTATTGGTATGGAGGGCAGCACGTTCTAGAGAAGTCGGTTCCTAGGATATTGCGCTGCCACTGAGCGTTTATGCGAAGCCGTTCAGATTGAATTCTGGTGACGAAACGGAGTGGATACAGTCTCCAAAAACTGCATTTCGGATAGAAATTATAGAATACACATCCCAAAGTTGCGGGTGAGTGTCAACCTTAACTGATATTAAGAGAAGGAAAACTCGCGCACTTCACACGAACGCTGGTCTCAAAATGGAATTTTTAAAACTGGTACGGTTCTTAAGGTAAATGTATGCAGTTAATTTATCGAAATACTTTTGGATCTTTGATTGAAGAAAGTTGGAGGTGCAACGTAGAACATTTTTCTAGCTGTTTTTAGGCGCTGAATCTCTTTAAAAAAATACACTCTGTGGTCTATCTTTTGGAAATTTCGAAGAATTTTAAACATTAACCATTGTTCAACTGTATTTAAATGAAATATACAATTGTTATTATTATTACCAATATTATGATCATTATTGTTATTATTATTATTGTTATTATTGGTATTATTTATTATCAGTGATTTGTGTGAAATAGACCACGGTACAACTTTATAGACAGCCATTGTAATCATATCAACGATAACAATGAGTTTAAGTCCGTAGGAAACATCGTGCCCTGAAATGAAGAGAGAGTCCTGGACATCCTCTGTTTGTGGAACTTCTTCGGTGCATAAACGTAGGACTTTAGTGCAGTGTGTATATTTTACAACGTGGTTTGGCCATCATACCGACTCTTGCAAGTTCGTGGAGCCATTTCATTGCTTGTACATCATAAAATATTGGCAGAAATTACCTTTTTGTAAGGGCAGGAACTGAACCTCTTAACGAGACGTGCTCCATATGCGGAATTCTCTTTTTACCAGGAGAGTCATTTGTAAACCCTTCTTTGAATAAAAACTTGAAATCAATATCGAGCTTACGTTTACTTTCGATCAAATTCCATGCGAACCCACACCTTTTTTATTCATGTCTGACCAGTGACAATTTTACATTTTTCCCGGGTACAAATTACCAATGAATTGCATGAGAAAGCCGAGTTTTCCATCTAAAAACAATCTAAGGGTGGCAAAAGGGCGAGAGAAGGCACGAAGCCACTGACATCAGCTCAAGTTATTTCTGATTGGTTAAAAAAGGTGCACCAGTTTTTCGCGAGATAGCCATAAAGCTAACGCAAAGTTGAGTCAGCCAGTGTAAGCCTGAATTACTTTCAGTACTCTCCTACAAAATTGATTTAACCACGATGTTAAAATTTGACGAGAATTGATTGGAAGTGAAAATAATTCCATCATCTGCTCGGAATGTTACAACTGGAAAGCCTGCCTTCCAGGTGTAATTTTTTCCTGTTTTTGTTGTTGTTGTTGTTTTTCGCTCCTCCTGGCGTTCTAGTAAGAGGATTTACACTGGAACTGCAAGAGGAACAAAAAATGCCTCAATGACAAAAACTTCCCAGTATTCCTTGCTGAAATCTTTTGTAAAAAATACAATAACGTAAAAAGAGATTAGAGTCCAAACTCCTTAGAAAATATGTATTAAATGAAATACGTGTTAAAATAGCCACAACATTCGGATTAAAAAAAAAACTGCAATAAAAACATACTACAAAAGATACACGAGAAAAATGTCCACCTCAATTTTCAATGTCAAGGTTAAAGTTCTTTGTTGTGATTGGCTACTTTGAAAAATCACGTGCGCTATGCGTGAACACAAAAAGCTAGCAGAGGGAAGAGGAAGAGCAAGAGAAAATTGCAATTTTTAAAGCGACATAGATTTTCTACACCTTCTTTCAAAACAAGAACCGATTAAAACGCAGTACTCTACAACTAGTTAGTTCCTAAACACGCTAGGCGGTATGTCGCATAGGTAACCTAAAATACGTAGAAAATAAAAGAAAATTAACTGAGAAAGTCCCCAGCTGTAATTTAACAATTGCAGTATTAACGGCCTTCCCTTCAAGATATTTTCCACCGATAGCGACGGCTACTGACGTTTTCTTCGATCTTTCATGATAAATGCTACGGTCCTCAGGTATGGTATAACCTCTGCTCCTGCTTTAAAACGATAGAGGCACTTCTAATTTGCAACAGAGTACCTTAAAAGGGACCCTTATGAAAATGCAAAGCTGTGTAACTTGATTTGAATTTTTCCTCGAGCGAAAGAAGCTTAGTGCAATAATTTTTCGCTTCAAAGATTGATCTTTGAAGAGGGTTTGATCATTTATGACCACTTCAATTTAAATGCAAAATTTACGTTTTTATTCCTGCTAAAAATAATTTTAAGCGATCGACATCGAAATTACTCGAAGCCGGAACGTCGATGAAAGAGAAACTACCGAAGTAACAAGAAATTATTTCAACTACAAGAGTAAAATTTTCAGGCTTTTAAGTTATTTTGAACAGTTCGATCCTTCAATAAAGTTGCTCGATTTTAGCTCTGTTAGAATTATCAAAACAAGTCACAAGATATATCGTGGATCACCTGTCAATTTTTCGTAACCGTCACCAGCTCAGAAGAAAACAAAGCATGCATGATTTGCCAAATCCTGTAGCAACCTCGTTCCCAGGGCCCTCCTTCTTCCATCTGGCAGTCGGTCTCAATAGTTTTGCAGGAGACCCCAGTCTTTCTTCGTATTCTGCTCCTGGTGTAGAATCTTTGGGTTCGGAAGTTAAGGTATCCCTATCTGGCATTGGGGCAATGCACTTGGTTCCATGTAATTCTAAAAACACCGAAAATTCGAGTTCTACATTTACACATTTTCTCAAGGGCTAAGTTTCTCTGCAGCAATCGAGCTAATATCAGATTTTTCTAATATCACTGTGAAACTATATTACAGAGAGCGAAGCTGAACACCCGTTTCTGGTGTGATGGAGAGCTCAAGTTTGTCTGTTTTGTCGATATTCTGTTGTCGAAGGAAAAATATTCGTATAATTCAAGAAAATGAAGAGTAAGTAAATCTCGTTACTTTTCTTACTTTCGATATTTTAGGGACGCCAAGTTATTTAATTACAAATCCCCGCACTTGTTGGGGAATAGCAAAAGATTATAGTCTCTTGGGACCAGTTATTATTCTTCGCCTGTGGGAGGGGAGGGACGGTGGATTTTGGTCCCTATCTCCCCCAGTAAGGAGGCTAATTAGGCTCTGTAAGATCTCTATGGTCCCCGCCTCATGATTAGCAATAAATTGGCAGTCAGTTTTCTATAGTACTCCCTTTCTACTCTGTTAGTGACAACTGATCCCCACTCCGTCCCCCTTGAAACCATGTGATCTCCTCTCAAAAAGGAAATTTCCATCCTAGCCCTCCCAGGTGATAAATAATGATTACCCAGAATGCTCCGTCACGCAACGCTCTCCTAGGGGTTGTGTGACACAATAAAACAGACTGTTCATCTGAAACGGAGGGAGTTTTACTAGCAGAGTAGCTGGTAGTGTAAGGGAGGTCTGTTATGGGTGGTTGCTGAGAAAGAAAAAAAGATACCTGCATAGCAAGTCAACGATCAAAGTACATTTGTGATGGTGTATTTTTTGTTGGTATCACATGATTTTGAGATGGCCAAGAGATGGCTAGGTTAAATTTGGGGTCCAGTCTTCCCGTATCCTGGAATTTTTCCTGTGTTTTATTTGGTAATTGAGCTAGCAACAAAGACCTGAGATTAAGAAGTGGTCATAACCTTTTATACAAAATATTACGGTATGAAATTTACGAGAGCACGTTCGCACAACCATCAAGTTCGCCGGTATGGTTATCTTGAAGTATAAGCTCACAGCTGAGCTCACAGTAAGTGTCGGCATATTTCTTCCATCATTTTGTTGGTGTTGTCGGTGTCTAGATCTCGGTAAATGATTAGATGTCTAAATTTGCATGATTTTCGTGTGAAAATACCACAGGAAATGCGCAAAATAGTCTCGTTAACGTCCTTTAGGTGTCAATTTAAAAAAATCAGTGCTGAATTGCGTATTGAAAATTGTGTATTGTAGGGAATACACAAAGTGGTCTTTAGCGAATCGTGGCGAATTGAATACAGATATTTGAAGCTTTTAGGAGGTTTTGCACGGTTGTATGCCCACTGAGTGGTAAGCGATACTTGGTAACTGGTGGTCAGGAAGAAACTTTCTTCACCAGTTAAGAGAGTAGGTTGAAAGAAGACTGGGTCTCAAAACTGTAGGGCTCAGCATGGCCGCCGACGGAGAATTTTGTAAGTAAATTAACCCTTTGTGTTTTTCTCCATTCGTGTACGACAAAGTTGTAAACAACCCAGTTGCTACAAGCAACGTGACGTTGAAATGCCAAACAAAATCTTTTCTTCGAGTCAATAACCCAATATTATGAAAATTCATTTTTGCGTGGTCGGAGATGACAGAGTTGGTTACTGCTCAGAAAGCATAAGGTTTTGATGGTAAATTTAAAACCTCGCCGAAACGTAATCCTAGGCTTGTTTGTATTAATAGTTCTATGGGTTGTGGAACCTCGAAGCCTCCAGTTGTAAGCACCGCACATCAAACACGAGCACCTTTACCCTGTAAAACTCACGAAGGTAAAGCTGAACAGGATCGAAGTATCCAACGCAACGAACAGAACGAAACTGAAAACCAGCAACAACACGATTATATCGACAGCAGCGAATTTCATCCTCTTTCTTACGAAGAAGTTGCGGCGTTACGTCCGAGTGATCCTGAAAACATGTGGGCGATTGTGAAGAAGACTTGTGATCGAAACAAAGAATGGAGGCTGGACTCTGTGAAAAATCGACGGGGCTGGAAAACGATAAGACTATTCGTGTCCTCAACTTTTCGTGATTTTCACGCAGAGAGGGAAGCTCTTGTAAAAGAGGTGGGTTTTTATCTGTAAGACTTCATACAACCTCTACAAAATAATTGATCCGCTGAACTAGCTAATTACGTATACGGTGCTTATTAAACGAAAGACGTTTTAAGCTTATTGCTTTCAAAGTCTGATTTCAATACACTTCGTTTCTCCTGTGAGATGTAAATACTCAGGTAAGAGTGTTTGCCTTCTTAAATGTCTGTTTCATTCTCATGCATAACCTTTAACGATAGCTCGAAGTTACTTTCCCATTCTAAACACTTGTCGTACACAACAGATAAATATGTAATGAATGTTGACAAAACAGTTGGGTCAGAACCATTTCCTTACTCATTTAAATCAGATCGTCTCTGAGAGGAAAAATACCATTCCTCCCTCAATCATCTGTTGAGACCCTTCGAAACCACAGCGAATTTCGTTCAAGTTTACTTGATGTACATGTAAATGTAGGCTGATAGTTTCGAAAGAAACTGTTTGGGGCTGCGTCGGTGGGAGTAACGAAATAATTTGGATATATCAACAAAGTTGAAATGATAAATTGGCCACCGTAACGATTACAAAAGCTGACTTTTCAAGCGTCAGCTTTTGTAATCGAAACGTCAGCTTTTGTAATTGTTACAGTGGCCAATTTACCATTTCAACTTTGTTGATATATCCAAATTATGATGTACATGTAGTCTGATCTACAAATTAATTTCTTTCCTGAATCTTGAACTTTTGACATAATACTAACTTGCTATAACGTCCTAAGCAGGCGCGTAGCGTCCTATACGCATATATGCACATGCGTACTTGAAGTGCATGATCAGAAAATTTTGAAAACAATGTCGTGCATGCACCAAGTTTGCTCACAGTAAGGGCAAGACGCTTTGTTCTTTGCTTGTATTCACACAACTATTTCAAACAAGAAATAAAGAATGCAGTATTTTTTGCTCAGTTTACTTAGGTTTCTAGATCATATGTAATTGTGCGTACTTAAAAAAATGACCACACTACGTGCCTGCTAAGTGTTGAATATTGTTAAATGACAAGATAGTATATTGGCATGATAAACCGTAAGGAAGGGATTAGGTGTTCTGATAATCACTAACAACACATTATCATCAAGTCTTGGCAAATGGGAAATGCCTGCTGTTGTTGTTAAAGGAATGCTGGCCGCATGTCGGGACAAGTTAAATTTCAACAAAATAAAATAATGGAATGATTTAAGAAATTTTATTTTTTAAACTTGATGTTGTTGATTGTAACATGAAAAATTTGAAGTTGATGGCTTGGAAAATGACTCTCCAAAAGTTTGCTTACGTAATTGTAGGTACAGTGGAACCTCGATTATCCAGACCTCGATGATCTGGACTTTTTGATTATCCGGAATTTTTCTCTGGTCCTGTTTTTTCATGATTATTAGTGAGCTTTGATCTTCAAACTTTATGTGGTAAAAAGATTCAAAGATTATGTTTAAAGTCAGGAAAAGTGCATTTAAAACAGCGCATTACCTCCACTTTCAAAAGATCGAGTGCTCGGAGAGTCATGGAAGCAGACTTTTAGAATTTAAAGTGTGTCATATTTATTTCTTTTGTTTACATTTTCCCTTTTTGGGAATTGGATTTCGGTTTGGGATTTCCTGTTTTTTGATATTGGCTTCTCTGGTTGATAAGCCTTGTTTGTCATTTCACGTAAGTGTGAATCAATATTGTAAGCGATTTTTTTTTGTCCAGTTTTCACTTGTGATATTAAGGTTAATCTTGTGATATTAAGGTTAATTTGGCCAGTGCTCTGGCCTTCCTTTCACACAAGACAATCTAAACTGAGAGTATTAAGTTCATGGTAGGTTAGACGTTAGAATCAGTTGAGTTCGTCCAACTGAATGCGAGTGAAGATCGACTGTGGGACAAACGCTAATCTCTTTATGAATCAAACTTAATGAGTAAATTGCATTTTGCTTTATTTTGAGTCCTGCTTACGGAAAGATTTGATTTTGCTGCTCTAAGTCTGGTTCAGCGAATTATGCTTGACATTTTACCCAATGGTCGACTTTTACCCGTTAGGTTCGACCAAAATTGCTGCCTATCAGTTATATGACGTTATTAAGCAGATATCAATTTGTGGAGCTTGTGGTTATAGCTTGATAATTTTTGTACCTGTCTCTGCCTGTAGGAGACGGTCAGCACCCAACGAATCAGCATAATTTCAGAAATGGGGGCTGGTTTGGGTTAATATTCATATTTTTGATTATCTGGACACTGGATTATCCAGACTGTTTACCTAAGTCCCAACGAGTCCAGATAATCAAGGTTTGACTGTGCTCATTAAGCCCGCTTGCAGGAGGCAGTTTGTGTTTTCAAGTGCAAGATTCAACACTGCTGATATTTGGTCACCATATCCAGTGGGGGGGAAGATTTAGGACAAGTAGCAAAGCACGGGGGAGGGGAGAAGGTAAGAAGACTCCTCCCCTTCCTTTTGTCACTTATCCCAAATGTTCCACTCATCCAATATGGTAACCAAATATTCACCAGGCTGAATCTAGCACTTGAAAACACAAAATCACTGCCTGCAAGCAGGTTAGCACTCACTACAAATTTAATGTACTCATTGGCAACAGTATAAAAAGGATCAAACAATGAATAAATGGTAAAAATGTTACTACTTTATCACTATTTGTACTGTAATGGCTTTCTACTGTCAATTTTAAAGCATCTAGTGACATTCCCATGTCCAAATATTAAAAGAAAAAAATAAAATTAATTTTAGATTAAGTTTACAATGTTCCTAGATTAATTTAGACACAAACTTGAACCCATAGGCTTTAAACACTGATTTCCATATTGTAGTTTTAATATGAATGTTATGTTGAAATATGATTTGCGACCTACAGTTTGATTTGTATTTTCTTTGTGTGAGAGATTAACTAGTTGCATGTTGAACAAAAGACATTACAAACAAACAAGTTTGAAATCATTTATTTTCTACCTGAAATTCAATATGGACTCCTATGCAATTAATTTTGGCAGATATTCTTTCTTGCAGCATTATGTAAAAATTGAACAGAGATACATAGCTTAGGTGCAGGCTTAGAATATTATTTTGAGAAAGTTCTATCATGCTGGTTGTCCATAGGTTTTCCCAGATTTGCGTCTTTGGTGCGAACAAAGAAAACTCCACCTTGTGGAGTGTGACTTGAGATGGGTGAGTGTTTATCTACCATGAAAAATATTTAATTAACTGAACAAGGGAGAGTTTAATTAACTCAAAGATGGTAATGGCTTTTAGAAATTTCTGAAACAAAGGGCTCAATATGAAGAATGCAGTTATTACAAGATACTACAAAATAACACCATGAAAACTTCTGAACCAGAATTTGGCAAAATTACTAGTAAGAGTTGACATTTCTTATCGCAGTGATGAAATCATATAGCAAATTGGTGGATTCAGATAAAATGCAGTCCTTTGTTTTGAAAGCTAATCAAATATCATTTTAAAATTCATGCATCCCTTCACGAGCTTTTTATAGTTTAGAAAATGCATATAACAGTGAAGATCTTTTATCGTAGTTTAGGAGTTTTACACGGTCACTGGTGTTGAACAGGTACGAATAAAGTGTCTTTCTATTTCCAATTCAGGGAGTTCCGAAAGATTCTTCAACTGAACAGACTATCAAGATCTGTCTTGGTGAACTGGATCGTTGCTATGAAGATAACATTGTGCCATATTTTCTAAATCTCAACTGGTAAGCCTGCCTTATCATTGCTGCTTCTATGGCCAACTTGTTTGCTACAGCACCAGAGATTGTCTTGTGCTTGGTGTAGCTGATCACTTATTTTTCAAAAACCAATTGGATTTAATACTTCAACTCCCTTGAGTGACGAGACAGAATTTCTCCTCACAGTATTAAAGAAATACAATATCAAACAGACAAGTGATGAGAATAAATAAGTTATTTATTATCCAACACGCCAAACTATTATTTCAGTGCGGGCGAATTTCGTGGATATTTATTTACGGGGAGTGCGTGACAGAAGAATGCGAAGCGGAACGGAATTGGCGCGTTGTTGTGTTGCTGTTTCTATTTTCTTCATTCAATAAAGAAATTTTCTGGTCGTCAAGCTGTTCAGTTTTCTTAGTTCGATTCATCTAATAAACTTTGATCTATATTTGCCAGCCATTCTGACTCTTCGTCGTGGGAAATATGAATCAAATTGTCCGCCACCTTTATTTTTTCGTAACTACAATCCAATTCTTCGCTTGCGCGATGCGAGAAAACCTGGTTAACCGGTACTTTACAATAGACGAGTACAAATACCGCGTGATATTTGTACTCGTCTATGGCGTTATTTGTACTCGTCTAAGTGTAGTTGGATAATAATTTCCAATATTTGGCCTAGATACTTTAATGTTTTCTCTTTCCCATGGTGAAAAGTCTTCGATAATTTTGAAAACTAAAAACTCAAGGTTACCGATATCCGCCCATTTTCCTAAATATATTCGATAAGCTCCGACAGATTTTAACAATAGAATACAATAGACGAGTACAAATACCGCGTGATATTTGTACTCGTCCAAGTGTAGTTGGATAATAAAGAAAATTATTATCCAACTACACCGTAGAGTACAAATAACACCTAGACGAGTACAAATATCACGCGCGCGGTATTTGTACTCCAGAAAACCGGTTAGATAGGTTTTCTCGCATCGTGCAAGCGAAGAATTGGATTAAAGTTACGAAAAAAATGGCGGACAATTTGAATGATATTACTGACGACGAAGACTCGGAGTAGCTGGTAACTGTAGATCCAAGTTTATTTAATGAATCGAACGAAGAAAAACAGCTAGACGACCAAGACATTTCTTCATTTATTGAAGAAAATAGTAACAGCAACACGACAGCGCGCCAATTCCGTTCCGCTTCGCATTCTTCTGTCACGCACTCTAAGTAAATAAATATCCGCAAAATTCGCCCGCACTGGAATAACAATTTGGCTGGGTGGATAACAAATACTTTATTAGACGTTTTTTTGTGTAGTATCGCTGAGTATTTTTACTCCTTATACGACACAACTCGCCAAAATACTCAGCGATACTACACAACAAAACGTCAAATGAGGTATATATATTGCTAAGAAAATTATTGATTGATCCACTACTAAATCCTCTGAACTAACATCATAAGAACTCTACGTCAGACAGTAAGGAGAACTGCTAATGAGATCTCGGGAGTGGAAGAGTTAACTTGGTTTTCTTTTCTCCGAAGTCGTACAAAATTAAAACTAAGAATTACACCTTTTAAAAAGTTATTTATTACACCAAGGGCGTAGCCAGGGTGGCCCTGGGGTGCCCGTGGTCCCCCCTCCTTGGTAGGCCTTCTTTAGAGCAAACAACCTACAATATTCAGGTGACAATATCTTGGCCGTAAAAGGCATTGTTGAAAAGTCCACTTTATAAAAAACTGGTTTTTTTTGTAAAGTATTTTCGACAACGGCTCTTGTATTTAGTTAATAATCTCTCGCGGGAGAGCAGCGGTGTAAATGGTGAGTAGCCTCTGTGACCCCCCCTTTGAAAAATCCTGGCTACGTCCCTGTACACTGATAATTGTTAATGACTACCTCTGTGACTTATTTGACTAATTTATGCATGTTTTATCCACGATTAGAGATACCGTATTTATTCGTGTATTAGTCGACCTTTTATGACCAAACAATGAACCCAAAAGATCACCCTCGCCTCGACTTATACTCGGCGCGGGTCAGACACAAGGACCTGACCCAAGCAATCCTAGAAGTTAGCATAACGATTGCTAGAAGTGCATTTGGAAAACCGAGTTTAAAAAATCAGTTCTAATTGTATTCGAGTTTTGTCAGTTTTCAGCGCATTCTTGATCAACAAAAAAGTTTGAAATAATGAACCGGTGGCATTCAGTTTGATATGAAACAGAAGTGGTTCTTTGCTTTGTCCGTGAAAGGTGTAACGGAGGCGCATTCGTCTTGCGAATAAATTTCGCAAAAGTTGGCCTGATTTTAAATTTGTTTGTCACGGGCGTTGGGATGAATTTGAGACCCTTTGATAGCACGCTGACTTGGCTGTCAGATGGTTGATAGTTTGACAGGTTTTTAAAGAAATTTTCATTTTCTCGGATTTTGGCTGCAAGCCTACATTTTAAAGTGTTTTTACGCTCTGTGTCTTAAGCTGTTTGTTCTGCTTTCGCTGATATTAAAGCCAGCTTTTTTTAGAATCAGAGCACACAATTATATTTTTCATCTCTTTTGTATAAAAGTGAGCTCTTTGAGGTCAGAAATCTCAATCCTCAATTCGGCTATTTTATCATTCTTATTTACAATGTTCACCGAGTACTTTCCTTTGTGTAAGGTATTCTGCCAGAGAGTTGTTAAAGGTGGATATTGATCAGCTCATATGTAAAGGTGACAAAATCCGTGGAGGTTCGTAGACTTCGCTTTCCGGCGTCGAGATCGCACTGAGGACGGTTTTTCTTGTCCCTTCTCTTCTTGAACGGTAGGCACTGAACCCGACAGAATTCTTCGCCTAGATCCTTCAAAGTACACAGATCTCTCGAAACAGTCCTCCGAGAAGTGTTCGGAGTAGATCACAAATATTTCTGTAGGATTGAAGTTTACTCGGCGAGGTCGCACAAATCGCATCCGTTTTTCCCGCTCTGATCTATTTGCAAGGCTCCGATGCAGAGAAATACCTGCAGCATGGTCTGCACGATTACTTCAGCTTTGAATTACGCATCGATGCCCAGTCATTTTTGTTTAGTTTTTGTAAGAATAGAGTAAAGCACTCTGTTATGTTTGCTTGACATTTTGCCATGTGAGATTTTCGCGTTGAGCCTTTGACGTCACTTCCTCTGAGTCCTGCGATCAACTTCCGGAACATGATCAAATAATGGCGGACGCGAAATCGCGAATTTAACGGCCCGAAAAAAGATATTTCTGGTGCTCAGTCTAAACTGAAATTTGGCAGAGTTGTTGAAGGAGACACACTGAACACGAAAATGGAAAAAAAATGATGTACGAAAATTTTGATCTCAGGGGCACTTTAAACAAAGGGCGCTTTCCATTCAATGAAAATCACGGGTTCAAAATGTCGGTAGTTTCGTTGGCCGAATGGGACGCGTCCGACTGTATCCAATAGGGCAAACTCAAAACGTATTCCTAAATTTTCGAAAACTTATCCCGAACTTTTCCCGTTCCATTCGATTTCAGACCGGAAATCTCGAAAGTTTTGGTCAAATGGAAAGCGCCCAAAGCTTCGCTGCTGGTTACGGCGCAGAACTTTCGTCTTCATCGAACGATTACAGAGCTTAGTAACCTGCCTAATGCTGTTGTTGCGCGGTCTTGTTCGTTACGCGCGATCCATTGAAGCTCTTTGGTGTAACTTTGTATTGCTAAATCTCCATTTAAACTCAAAATTAAGATGAAGGTCAGTTAAAAGCAAGAAGATTTCATTTTCAATACGATTTAAAAAATATGGTGAAGTACTTCTCTAGTAAATCGAGGTGCTCGTGTATGCTTAAATCGTGTAGATACAAACAAGTGCTACATGTATTAAACTTCGCAGCACACGGTTATATTTGCTCTGTATTTTTTTTTTATTGACCATGTTTTCAGTACATTCTCAGAAATAAGAGATTAACTTTTTGGTCTGATTTTACTTTAATTAGAAATGGTGAAAAATCCGATTTTTGACTTTGAAAATGGGGGATCGACTTCTACACGAGTTCGACTTATACACGAGTATATTATAGCTTTCTAGTAATGTAGTCTTATCCTTTATCAAATAAAAGAAATATTTCTGAGGAATATTTCTGCCTTCATCCCTAAGATGCCAAGATCATACTTGCAAGGTCAAAGTGACCCATACAAGTCATTGTGTGATAAAGTTTTAAAAAAAAGAAGTATTCTATTTTTTCTGTAGAAGGGATTGTAGCTCAGTTAGACTATTCCCTCTCTTAGATATTGTTCAAGTTTCATGGGAAGTTTTGTTTTGGTAGACTGAGACAATGTGCTCTCTTGCAAAAAGCTACACTGACATTGACAAGTAATGGAGGCCACAATTTTTCTTCTAATTTGGAGTTTGACATGCAAATTATAATGTAGCGTTAAATATTTACCACAACATGGAATCAGGTCTCAAAAGATTGTTCCCTTGTTTCTTATTCATAGTGCCCGTGCAGGCTGGATACCAACATTTGGAGACCTAACATACAATTTAGCTGTGCAGTATGGTTGGGTTTATGGCCTGTCTCTTACAGAGATGGAAATTGTTCATGGCGCGTTTCGAAAGTGCAATCCTAACGGTGAGCAGTAGATTTAACAATTACGTGTACAAGTTATTTTGAGGATTTCAATAACTGTTTCATTTCCAGGAGTCAGATTAATTTTGTTTCAGGACTCCAAATTGTACCCCAAACCCTTTCATTCGCAAGATTGTACAGTGCACTGTTTTGTAATGCGAGGGTTTCAATGAGAGCCTGTTAGTGGAAGTCTACCTCTGCCTATAAAGCCTCTTACTACTTACTGTCTGTTTAGCCAGCGAGGAGGATCTTGTGTTTAGGTATGGAGATCATATGGATCCTGGAAAACCTGGGAAGTCCTTAAATTTTATTTTGACATTTTCCTGGACTGGAAAATCCTGGAAAAAGACTACAGGCCCTGGAAAATCCAAGAAATCTGCTTAACTGAAGTAATTAAGTTTTCAGAATTTTACATCATGAGAAATGTATGTGGATATCAACATGCAAGTTCTCTTTACTGTTCTCTCTACATTTCATATGCCTCTTATGGGGACAATTTGTCCAACAAATGCAAAGGTTGTAAGTTGGTGATCATTTTCTTTACTCTCCTGAGTTTAATATTTGATTCAAGGGAGATACTTTTGGAAGACGTTTCGAGCATTAGGCCTTTGTGAGACTGAGTGAAGGGCTGACAATGGCAAGCAAAATAAAGGGCTAATGGCTTATCAGTTGCTCTAGCAAAGGCCTGATGCTCTAACTGTCAGCTTTAGAACTCTCATCGGTGGCCAAACTGTGTTATCAACTCAGTCGATAAAACCAAATGATCTTGTAACACCCCACTGACACAGCAGCTCAGTTTCTTTAGAAACTTACCTCTTTGTTCTCTGTACCTGTTTGCAACAAAACAAAACATTGGAATTGCAGTGAGAAGGTATAAGTTAATCACCCCTGGCTTAACTGACCTGTGCTTTTGAATCGTGTCTGATTATGAAGCCTGGTTCCATTTCAGCTCTGTTCCTGCTCAGAGACAGTGAGTTCACTTATGCCTTACCTGGTGAAATCAAAGACGCGTTTGTAGATGACAATTCACTGTGCACTGAAAAAATGAAGAAACTTAAAGAAATGCTCAAGGAACATTTCCCTGTAAGTTTGCATGTAAACAGGGGAGAGATAAATGCACCGGTAGCTTGCAGTTTTCTCCAACACTGGAGGGAAGCTTGTCAACAATTTTTAGGGGTTGGAATGTTTTGGTTTTTTTTTTTTCCAGTGTATTGAAATTACCCTTTTATCAAAACTATATCAAAAATTGTTGAATGTGTTTTTTTATTGGTATTCTAATTTGAACACGAATAAAACAGTGTAATAACAGTTACATGAGTTTCAATAACTTTTTCTATTATTCCTAATTTACAAGGAAATGCGTAGCAGCTAGAGTTGAGCAATTTAAGTCGAAAAATTTATATAACGCTTATTGAAAGCCTCTAAGCGCTTTACGATTGAAAATTCCTATTGGCAAGAGGCAGACCAGTAGGTTATGTACAGAGCGCAGCCGAGGAGTTGAACTCGGGGCAACCGAGAACAAATCCAGTGAGTGGCAGGGTGGAGGACTTGAACCCGGGACACCGGATTACAAGTCCAGCACCCTAACCACTCGGCCACGAGTAGCCGAGGGGAGAAATAACAATCAGGTCATGGGATTTCAAAGTTAACTTGCTTACCTCCTTCCAGTTGAGGCATTCGAGATTACTACAAAATTAATGCTTATATCGTAAGATAGGTTGTGGTTATTCGTCGTGGTAAGTAACACTTAAAACAAATGTAATCGTTTGCCTCACGATGTGGTCACTTGGGGTGTGGATCCCAACGCTTCGACTGCATACTAGTTTCTTTAGGCGATGAGGTGACACGTACTCAGTCGACCTCATCGCCTAAAGAAGACCAGCAGTAAGCAGTCGAAACGTCGCGATCCGCATCCAAGTGACAACATCGTGAGACAAACGACTACACTTCTCTTTTAAAATCAGTGCTGTCTGTGTTCCGTTTAAGGCTGAGAATATTGTTCACTACAAAGTTGATTGTGACGCCAACAGCGTCAAAAAGAGTGCTCAGCTACAGGATGAAAGGGAAGTGAGACTGAATGGAATCACGGGCTCAGAATCAGTCTTTTACAAAACAGTGAGTTTTTTTTTTTTTTCAATTTTGGAGTTTCTTTCAGCTTCTTTGTCGTGCTTGTAACATGCACTCAGCTTTTAATGTCCATTTGTCCTTCTTTAGGTTTACGATTTTTTCAAAAGTCGGATTGAACACCAGTATCCTCTTGATCCAACTCCAGAAGATCCCCTTGAAGCGCAAAAGACAGCACATGAGGTTTCAGTTTTGTTTTTCTTTCACACTTTCATTTGATCTTAAACTCATAACAGCAGGGTGTTATTTATGGGATTGTGTTGCTATCATAACACTCAGTTGGTCGATATTTGTTTCTTTAGTCATTTTTGGATACTCGAGGACAAGTGGTTCTTGGAAGAGACAAGATTCTTGATGAGGTAAGTTCGGACGAGTTCATTAATCAATTTAGGCGTGAATATAGAGTGGGAATCTTTTTCAGAGAGGAACGTTTTATGAAATACAGTGTGGGTACATATGTGAACGACTTTTCCCTTTTGATATTTAAGATTCGGAAAGTGTTGGAAAATTTGAGGAATAGATTTTTGCAGGTTTTGGAAAAAATTTTATTGAAGCACTCAGTACGTTCAGGCTTTGTTTTTTAATCCATTTGCGAGGGGAAAAATAGAGAGAGAAAAAAAAAACAGATAGTCGAAGAGGTTGAACTGAACCTAAGCATTTGTTTGCTCTAATTTCGAGGTTCTAGGTACAGTTCTCTTAACACTCATGTACACGGTATCTCGATCTCCAAATGTATGAGGCTTTCAGTTTCAGGCTCTTAATAAACGGAAGGGGTTTCAATTATGGTAGCGTTTCCCATAAGGCGGCTGTGCCCAAAAAGGGCCCGTATGGAGAAACCTAAACACGAGAGTCTGCCTGCTGGTTAATCATAAAAATTACAATTTCTTTGATCGTGTTTGGTTTAAAAATCTCCTATTTCCACTAATTCACCCGCCAAGTTGTTATCGGGAAGTTTGTTATCTGAAAGTTTGTTATCGAACAGTTCAATAAGCCAATCACATTCAAAGTTGTCGTTTAAAACAACCAATTACAACCTTGTTTTTTTATGCTAATTTTCCCTTTCTTTAATAAGAAATGTATAGAGATTCTAGTCTTCTCGGATAAGGACGAATAAACCGTAGGTCCCGTCTCCTGCATCTATTAATTAGATAATTTGGTTAGGCAGGGGACGTTCAAAAACCCACTCACGAGATTACTGTGATGTGGTCTGGTCTGTTTACTGGAAATTGGGGGGAGGGGGCATCTTCAAATAGGTTTCTTTCGATTGTTTGTAGACATTCTAGTCTTCTCGGATAAGGACGAATAAACCGTAGGTCCCGTCTCCTGCATCTATTAATTAGTTAATTTGGTTAGGCAGGGGACGTTCAAGAACCCACTCACGAGATTACTGTGATGTGGTCTGGCCTGTTTACTGAGAATTGGGAGAGAGGGGGCGTCTTCTAATAAGTTTCCTTCGAATGTTTGTAAACTGCTGATGCAGTCCGGCCAAAGTCCCCCGAAAAGTGTTGTGATGCGCATTTGATCATATCCACATGTTAATTTGCGCAATATAAATATTAAATTATTATTAATTATTATTATTAATCATATCCGGGATAAACAAATCGGACTCCCGCTGCGCGGTCGTCCGATTTTATTATCACTCGTATGATTACAAACCGAATTGGACTCCACCTAATGCTATTAGCATTACTGATAGGCAGTAGATGGCCGCCGGTAACCGGCTTTTACTGAAACCTCTGGTCAGGGTAGCTCAGACTACCTCAGACTAGCTCAGTGGGGGACAACCTCGTTCCCAGGTTCTTTTCCGTTAGTTGGGGCTGGGGCACCCCACCTCCTCAGACCCCACCTCCTCAGAGGGAAAAGGCCCGGGAACGAGGTTGAGTGGGGGAGTAAGGAGGAGGTTTGGGTCTATGTGACCCGTCCGAATTTTGTATTTTATACACCCTGTCTAGTTAGTGAATACCTGAAGCAAATTATGACAAAGGCTTTCTCATATGCTGTGCAAATATTTTGCTTTTCTAGATAGCCAACTACATTGTGAATGACACGTCCAATGCCCCGTTGCTTATCATTGGTAATGCAGGCTCAGGAAAGTCAGCCATTATGGCCAAGAGCGCCAGCGATGCTTTAGCCAAGGCTGAAAGAGGAGAACTGCCTGGTGCCAAGTAAGTAATGAAATGAACGTTATGGAAGAAATGATCAAAATCCATGCTACGGACATTGATATGACTTGAATTTTTGGATTCGATTTACGCCTTTACGCCTCCAAGCATGCGAATGCCACTGGGTAACTTTTACAGTACAATGAATTAACTAATATTTCGACGTGTGGACAGTTAATGAGGGAAGAGATGATCCTCGCAGGCGAGTTGTAATCAACCCCCGAACTCCCGTGAGTGACCAAGACAGAATTTCTCCTTACAACATCAGTACCTTGTCAACAGAGAAGTAATGAGAATTTAAAACTATCAATTAGGGGATTATTAGTTGCTCCATTACCGAATTCTCCAAACTAACATTATAAGAATTTTATGGCAGACGATAACTTGACAATTACTGATGAGTTCTCGTGAGTGAAAGCGTTAAAGAAATAGTCCCTTTTACAGTTGTGGGCTTGGCGGCCAAGCCTTTGAACAGGAGTGAGGCTAAGGGTGACCC